ATCATGCCCTATTTCTTGTCATTTATGAGTATTATATGTTTATTTTGTTAATGCTCTGTTTATTTTATTAAATTATGTATAATACTAATATAATATAATACTAAAATTTTATTTATTTGTTTCATGCATATCTTTTTACTCAAGCTTACTTGCACTCCTGTTTTTTTTTTTTTTATATTTTTTACATATGTTTGTTGAATGTGCTACAATTAATACACATTTACACTTAAATATTGAAATAGTCATTTTATGTGCTTTCTCTTCACTCCTCAAATTTCTATGACAGCTTTTACACTAGTGGGGCCCAATTTCATTATCTTGCCTATTGGGCCCCACAACCCTTCAGGACGGCACTGCTTTCCATAAAGACTGGATTGGGAGCGTATATGTTGAAATTAGTGTTATGTGTTTTTAAGTTAAGGGAAAAAAACTGTTCATGTTTAATGTTCAGCTATGTTGGACATTTAAAAGAGTTCTTGTTGTTGATGTTTTTGTGGTTAGCATTGTTTTAAACACTCATCTTATACCGACCTACAGGTAGAACGTCTCAGGTTACTTATGTAACCATGGTTCCCTGAGTAGGGAACGAGACACTGCGTCCTCTAGGGGTCGCTATGGGGAACACCTCGTCGTGACCCGTGTCTGAAGCATACATTGAAAAAACACCAACTCGTTGGCCGGCGACAGCCATGACGTCACTACCGGTGCGACTATAGTATAAATAGGCGCCGGGAGCACACATCATTCACTTCTTTGTCTGAAGCTTTGCGTCCGCAGCATGGCAAGAAACCTAGAGGACGCAGTGTCTCGTTCCCTACTCAGGGAACCATGGTTACACACTTACCATAGTATTTGGATTTTAAGAGTTTTCAAGCATCTGTTTAGAGATACCCGGAAGTACTGGGCCAAACGGTAGAGGCAAGCTCAAATACAACCCTCAAAGGTGAGGGGAGCACTGCCCGAGACAGCATTACACAGGAAGGTTCTCGTAATGCCACCTATACCTCCCGCTCGATGCCTCAGCAAGACGGGATATCCTGGTGATCGGGAAACCCCTCAGGGCGACCCAGATACGGTAGACCAGTCAGGGTAGCATGAAAGCGTAACCCCAGCCCGGACGTCCAGGAAATTTTTGCAGTGATGCGCCGGGGGCCTGATGATCACGAAGGCTCCCGCAGAAGCCTGTGTTATGGCCGCATGATCCAGGAAGTATGAAGCTGAAACCCGGCTTTTCTTACCGTCTGGACATATTTCGACGAGTGAAATAACACTGCAAGTCGGGCACCCGGTTTCTGAACCCAGCAGAGGGGGTGCCGAGCGAGATGTCAAGGAGGGGAGTTTTAGAGGACATCTCACCCATAGAGCGATAGCTAGCCAGCATCTCTCTATAGGGGCCTCTTCTCATAACCGCTTTTACGCATCGCCTCGATGTTGGCATAACTCGTATGCTGGAATCGATGGATGCGTGAGGAAAAAACGGCCTCTTCCATTCCTTCTCAATCTTTATATGGAAAACAGGAAGAAAGGAAGGCTCACCTGAGCTGGAGGGTTATGGCCAGAAAAATAATGTTCATCGAGATACTCGCGCCGTCACTTTTTTCCCCCGCTTCATGGCAAGTAAAGCCTCGCCGTGGCGCGATCCATAATTTCCAAAACCTCATCATACGCTGGACAGGAGGATTGGGAATGCTCAGACTCAGCTTCTTTGCCCTCCTCAGACATTTCCGGTTTTTGCTGGGCTGATCCCAGTAGAGCACTGGCCCCTGAATCAGACAATGTTAATGAAATAACATCATCCTCCAGCGGCTCACTCTCGTGCACAGCCGACGATTGCGAAAGGGAAACCCCCCTTCAAACTCATCGGCCAGATCCACCTGCGATCCCCACGCGTTCCCCATAGACAAGGCGTTCCCCATTACCCTAGAGGACGCAGTTCGAAGTTCCCATGAAAGGGAAACTGAAATCAGCTAAACCTGTTTTAAGGACTGATAAAAGATGGACCAATGAAGCAGAGAGGGATTTTCAAGCCTGTTTCGACCTCACTGATTGGAGTGTTTTTGAATCTGCAGCCACCAATCTTGACGAGCTCACAGAGACTGTAACTTCATATATCAGTTTCTGTGAGGATATGTGCATCCCCACCAGGACATTCTTGTAATTTAATAATGATAACCCGTGGTTTACTGGGAAATTCAAACAGCTTTGTCACGCCAAAGAGGATGCTTACAGAAGTGGGGATAAAATATTGTATTACCAGGACAGGAACAGACTAACAAAAACATCAGAGTGGCTAAAAAACTACTCTGAAAAGCTGAGAAAACAGTTTTCAGCCAACGATCCGGTGTCAGTATGGACTGGTCTCAAGAACATCACCCTGTACAAGACACCACCCCCACATTCTGTGGAGAATCAACAACTGGCTGACGATCTGGTGACAATATGCATGATAACATGTAATGAATTAGGTACTAACTATTCACTATGACAAGTATTAAATAAAGTTTAATTTTGTTGTTTGTTTCAGACTGATACTGAACTTCAGCCGCTCTCTGTGGTGTTCAAGTACAGCTCAATGTCAGCAGTGGCAGCAGTTAGAAATGGATCCTGGATTGTGCTGTTCATAGGAACCAGTGATGGCCAACTCATAAAGGTCTCCTTCACCTCTCACTCCAACGCATATGCCTTTATTTTCACTAGAGTTTTCATTTACTGTCCTTCCCTCTAATAAAGTGCTGGAAACACAATACAGCACAAGCTCAGGGGTAAGATGTGTTTATTACATGAGTGATAACTAAGCTAAAATGTGCCATTAACCTCAAACAGGAACCAGTCTAGCAGCTCAGAGGACTTCATCATAATACAATTATACAGTCCACATTCACACATAGTGCCTGAGTTCTCATTTGACAGATTTGATCATTGCGTTTTGAGAAAAGCATGTGATCTATGACGTCCGAAGCTTTATTCGCCTGAAAACCACGTGACTGCTTCAGTATCTGTTTCAAACGAAGCGAACCTCAATGCCGTTTCATTGTTTTTTAAATTTTTAAATCTTACTTATTTTAGTGCAAGTACACCGACACAAATGAATGATTTTGACAATAAACATTATTTATATAAAATATAATAAAACAAAAAAATAAGTTGTAGAACCAGATGTGAAACCACTGGCTGTAATGGAACATAACACTTTGGAAGGTGTTATTTATTTTTATGACCACTAGATGGCCACAGCATAAACCGTTTTAAAAAGCTTTGAGTAATAATGAACCTTTTCCAAAGGTTCCAGTGGCCAGTGATCTACAGGTGAACATTCCGGTAAAGAGTGACTAAATTGGCTGAATAAACTGTTACTGTTTGTAGTTCTGCCCCTTTCATGCTATTTTTAATAATAAAAAATAGAAAATATATGCTAATAGAGATATGCTGAATTTGAGTATGAACGAGGTGAATGTGACGGGTCAACAGAGAGATCGGCAGTATCGGTGTGTTTTGGAGAAGATTGAGTTCAATGCCATTATCTGTACAATTAATGGAGAATTGGGAGCCGTCCCAGCAGTGGACACAATCAGTGTAAGTCTGTTTTATTTTGGGTAATTATATATGTTAAATATCAATAGATAATGGGAAGGAGAAGTCCATAGTTTGACTTTGTTAATTGCTGCTAAATCTTAGTGAAGTTTATGAGATCCTTTAAGAGCAGAACATTTTTTTCATTATATTTTCAGATCAGCATTGGGGATTCTTGTCTTCACAGAATGAGAGAAAATACAAACTATTTCTGCCTCAGTCCACAGAAATCATCTGGTCAAGTATGAAGAAGCAATAGAAACAATTCCGGTTTCTCACAGCAAAAATCTGAAAAAAAATAAAAATAAAATATATATATATATACATGTAAATATATTCAAGACAATGAGAGGGCTTTAAAACTTGACGTACTGATCAGAATATGATATGTATCACATGTAATGCCTTATACTTGAAGAGCCCTAAATTTCATCAAACATAGAATGCTTACCACTTTTTTGCTATGTGAAATGGTATTTCCTGCATATGCACAGTGGTTAATGCATTAACAACCACATGTCTCCGATATTCATAGTGGTTGCTGTGCACGGAGTTGTGATATTTTAGTGCCATTACTATGACACGTTTTCCTTCTGTACATTCAGAAACGTGCAAAAATAAACAAGCCGAGAAACTACATCTTTACCAAAACTTCAAATTTACCAAAAATGTCAGTGCCATAAAAAACCATCAAAATTAATCTACACTTGAGAGGCTACAAAAGAACACAAAATGAAGAGTGGTGATCCCACAAATACACAGAGACACACTAATACAATTACAGCTCATGCGTTGAGACGCAATCCATCAGAGAGCGATAAAAATAAAAGTATGGAGAGACTGCTATTTATAGCCATATATTTTTGCCATGCGTTACATGAACCGAAAAGGTAAAAAAAAAAATGTTTCATGGTATTTTATTTAGCTTGATATAACATCAACAATCAAAGAAGTAGTAGTATGTCCCAAAACTAATAGCCTAATTTGTTTTTACATATACAGATGTATGCTTTCCCTTGTCTGCGAAGTGAATTATACAAGATGGGTGACAGGTTTTGTGATATTTGCATCAGGACAAAAACCAATATGAATATTATTATTAAACACGTTGATCTTGTACTTCGCAAAAATCTCCTTCCCCTTGATGTCATAAGTTACATTTTAAAACGATTAAGCATACTTTTTATTTTAATTTTGTGAATTTTGATTATTTTTAACTTTCACTCAAGTAACTGTTTGGAAAGTTTGTCTTCGTTTTAGAAATCAAAATGTCTGTTGTTGCTAGACCTCCGCCCTCATCTCACAGCACTACTTCACATCCACCCACTTCACCCTTATACTCATCTGAGCGCAGTTGATCTCTGTGACAAGATCTCATTATCAAATACACTAGTAGGCCTACCCAACTGCTCATTTACTTATTAAATACGATGGGAAGATACTTACTTGGAATACTTTTACTTCTGAAATATTGCATTTGCAGTGATATGCAGGACTTTGATGGAGACATCAAGGACTTTGTAGTTGGTGACAGAAAGTTATTTGTTCTTACTGACCATCGACTACATCAGATGAGACACGATCTATATGAGGAGAAGAGGAAAGACATCACTAGAGTTAACATTCTGGTGGCTTTTGATCTGAACGGCACCCTGATAACATGTGGGACTTTTGAAGATGGATATTGTGAAGTTCTTGATATAAATGACATTACTGACAGTATTCATTATGAAAGTAATATATTGGTAGGACCGCGACAGAATGAGAAATCTGTTGCCTTCATAAGTGGTAGGTACCTTTTGGTTGGGAAAAAGGATGACGATGTAAAAGCTCAAGATACCATATATTCTGTTGTTAGCTTGCGGAGCACTTTAGAGTCTCAAAAAGGTGGGATTTTCTCAAAAACAGCGGAACTATCAGATGCCGTCATTCAGAGCACAACGAGAGATGTGGAGTTTGTTGATGGATTCCAGAGAGTTTCGCCCTCAGAATCCTATTTATTTCTCAATGCAAAGACTGACAGTGAGAGGAAAGTGCTCGTCCTGTGGATGAACAGCTCTAAAGGGAAAAAGATAGACATAATCAAATCCCTACAGGCTGCAACGATACGATGCTGCAGTGATAAAGTTCGTCCAGTGCTCGTCGCCTGCACCGTTATTCCCTCAGTGAACCGTGTTATTTGGGCAGGTGTGTTCAGTGCGCAGAATCAGCAGGATCCGGAGAACAGCGCGCTGGCTCTGTACGACATCAGTAACCTTCAAGGCCGAGTGAAGGGCTTCTGCGCTTACGGTGAAAAATGTGATTCTGAGGTTGGAAATTACTTGTATACTTTTTAAACAGTATTTTGCTTTACAGAGACTTGAATAACATTTGTAATAGAATACATGTTGCATGATAAACGTAATTCACTGTAGTATTCACTAATGTTGTTTGTGTTTTAGAGTGGTAGTGAACTTCAGCCACTCTCTGTGGTGTTCAAATACAGCTCAATGTCAGCAGTGGCAGCAACGAGCATTGAATCCTGGATTGTGCTGTTCATAGGAACCAGTGATGGCCAACTCATAAAGGTCTGCCTCGTATTCTATTTTTCACTAGTTTCTTAAATGTTATCATCTCTAGTTACAAAACACTGAGGGTATAAGTAGCCTGTGAATTTGTGGGGCCTTGTTAAAATTATAAGGCTTAAAAATTATTTTAAAAAAATATTCTTTGTGGAATCTGTGAATAATAAGAAGTGTACTTCATATCCCAGCAATGAACAGCGAAATTAATAAATTGCATGAATAAAGCACCAGTTATATAATGATTTGGCTAAAGTTTGGATAATGCTGTTGTTTATATTTTTAGCTGATGTTGGATGAGAAATTCACACCAGGATGTCCAATAGTGCTGTACAAATCTGATGATGAACGAGCAGTGCTTCCCAGAATGCACTTTGATCCAGTAGATTTCAAACACATCTACATCGCTCTGAAGAAACAGGTGAGATTTACAAATGTACAGTCAATAAAATGTGTCAACACTGAAAACACTTTATTTTTTAATTGCTTACTCACTAAACTAAAAGTTGTACTTGAGGCACACTCAGTGAAACCATTCATTCATATACTGAATCTTCAGACCAAGTCTGAAAAAAACTGTTTTTCCTTGCATTTTTGCTTCCAGACCTTTGTAAATATATATTGAATATTCATACAGGTCAAGTCACCTTTATTTCAACACGTTTTTTTTCAACTGCTTACACACATTTTCAAAACTTTGCCTCTTTTTTTTCAAAACTTTACACACAAATCTGAAGAACTACACACAAAATGCAAAATGCCTCACATCTCTTGCAAAATGAAGCACTGCATTCAAAATATCACAAACACATCTCAAAAGCAAACATTTGCAAACACTTTTGCCATAATATTAATTCCTGTTAGATGTTTGTGTGTTACATAGAAAATTGTGTGTTGTCGTGTTTTGCAAAAAGTGTTTTTATGAAATTGAAAACTGAGTCAAAGGCCGAGAATTAGTGTATGGTTTTGCAGATTTGGTGTGAGGTTCTGGTGTTTGAGTGTCAGGTTTCAGAAATTGTGTGACAAGTAAAGATTTTGTGTGTAAGCAGTTGAAAAATCTGTAAAAGTTACATTTATACCTTTTATATTTTTAAGTTACCGATACGGACATTTTAAGTACAAAGGTGTACCTACTGAAAAGTGACAGCTTTTGTACCTTCTTTTCTAAGAGTGTGTAATGAATGATAGAGTACAATAGAGATTGTTTTAAAGCAGTAGAAATAAATTCAAATGGACAAACTCCTGTGTGCTCCACTGCACACTGAACATAAAAAAGACACAAGATAGTAGTGTTGTAGTGATAGTAGGCGTGTATATGGCTAATCATTTGGTGTTGTGTAGAGTTACTGTGCAAAAACACCATTTTTATGAGAGTTAAAATAGTTTTGAAAGAAGTATTTGCTTTTGCAAGAGATGTGTAATGTTTTGAATGTTGTGTATTGTGGTTTTGTGTGTAGAGTTTAATACCGGTATATCGTGACACCCCTATTAACATTATAAGTCTATACATGGTATATTATAAAATCTGAGTGCTTTTCTTTGTCTTTCTTTCTTTTTAAATGATGTGTGCACCATACCTTGTGTTATACTCTGGCATCTAATAATTATAAACTATACTGTAACACTGCTGCAATGTGTTTTAATAGAGCTGCAGAAGGAATGACTGTAATTTTGTAGTTTTTTTCTGACTGCTATAATCGATCTCTCTCTGTTTTTTGTTAAAATTTTCCTTATTTCAAAAAGTTGTGTGAACTCAATTTTTTATTTATTTTTTTGCTTTCTGCTCATGTCTTTGGTGTAGTTAAGAAGAGTGTCTGTGGTTGAGTGTGCTAAATACAGCACTCTAATAGACTGCAGAGCTGCTCTGGATCCTCTCTGCGGCTGGTGTGTGAAAACACAGAGGTCAGATTAACATATGTTGCACTTACAAGTAAAAAAGAGTTTAATATGCTAGCTAGTTTAAAAAAATCAATAGCTTATCCAACCTGGCATAACAACTCCAAATGATATATTTCTGCTCGTCTAGATGCTCCACCCAAGATGAATGTTCGAAATCTTCATGGGTGTCCACCCCAAAAAACTCCCTTCAGGAAAAGCTGTTTTCTTTTCAGGTTTGGGCAGAGAAATCTTCCAGCAAGGTATAATTATATTAACTTCAAATAAAACCATTTTTCATTGCATTGAAAATATATTAGCAATTTCTACTGACCAGTCAATGCCCATTCCTACACAGATTACTCTACATCTTTCCTTGAGTCTGGAGAGCACAGGAAATCCCACCTTCTCATGCACCTTCACCACAGGAAGTGTAAAACTGTGTGACGGGTCTGATCTGAATGCAGTTTTTCCAAACTGCAACTGTAGTTTTTCTGACCAGCTACTATATACTACAGGTTGGTTCTCTGTCAGTGTAGTGGATTGGTGTTGTGTGCTTTGTATTCAATGTGCACACGTACCACACTTAAAGCAAGGTTTTATTGTCCTCAATAAAATCCAGCCACTTTATTCTATATACACACTATTGCATTAAAAGCAGCTATAGTATGCATGCAGCTGACATGTATAACAGCAGCATTTCAGTGGAAATGGCTCTGACACCACAGCGCATATCCAAAGAGACAGAACAGAGTTTCCAATGGCATTATTAGACAGAATCAGATGATAAAGCAGTCATTCGATTTCTCCTATGTGTGCAAACTAACAAGCCCAAATTCTGTAAACAAGCCCTACAAATTGAGGAAGAAGAAACAAGCTTAAAATCACAAATAAGTGAACTTGGCAACTGCTGCTCTTACATTAAAAATAATGGGAAGGAAATTAGCACAAGCTAAAATAAATTGCGAGAATAGAGAACTCATAAATCAGCAATACATAATTTATGATGACAACCTTTAAAGTTTTTGCCTATGATTTCTCACTTACACGCAAGGACTAGTAACATTGATTCAATAATATGTGTGCGTCTTTATGTTGTGGGGAGGAAATTATAATAAATTATGTGACCGCAGAGCATATCTACATATCTTGTTATTTCCTTTCACTCTCTCAGCAATCGTAACCATGGTAGCTTCATGACACATCTGAAACCAATATATTTTACTATAAGGTATCTCATAAGCTAAACTTTTTTTCCAAGTATCTCAAAAAAAAAAAAAAGCAAAATAAATGAGACTAGCTGTATGCAATGTAAGTCACTATGGATGTCTGCTAAATGCATAAATGCAGTACCAACGTGAGAAGTCCTGATCAGTCTGTCTGGGTTTATTCTGCAGTATTGGCTATCTGTATCCAGAAAACTTTTTAAAAAATGTTATCATCATTACTTTTTGATAATCCGTTAAGGTTTAAACATCTCAGCTGAAGTGGCTCTTGGGGATCAGAAGATCACAGAGACACTGGTGCTGAAAGACTGCCTGAATATCAAAGATAATTCACCAAGTGCTTCTTATACACAGTAAGAAGAGCCTAAAAGAGTTTTAAAATAAATTATTAATTTAAAAAATGCCATGCAGTGGTTTAACACGACACGTTTAACATTAAATGCAGGTGTGTTCAGTGTATCTCAGCTGGGTGTCACTGGTCCTCATCCTCCAAGCGTTGTGAATGGGCACATGGACCTGGACCCCAGTTAAACATACAGGTGAGACAATGTGTAACCTACAATCCACTAATTCAGTATATGTGTACTGGGAAATAGCATGCCTTCATAAAGTGTTAAGAGATATTCTCTTTAATCTCATAAAGAGATTAATTTATTCTTGATATCAGAAATACCATTGCACTGGCTGAAGAAAACTCACATTTCTCTGTCTTTCTCCTCTCTTTAGGATGCATGTAATGATGTGCTCTATGAGATGGAATATGAAGTAAGTGTCATACCGAGTACTAAGGATTTTGCTTTATAAGGACCAACGGTCATGTTAAATGTACTTTTAAATATGTTTGGTTGCATCTTATATCCTCACACTTTGATGTCCTGTAGAAGCCAGATATTCTGTCTCTGGAGCCGAACAAGGCTTCTTTCCATGGCAGAAACAACGTGTCTTTAAGAGGAAGGAACCTGGAAGCTGTTACTAAAATCCGTATTCAAGGGGATCTGGACTGCATTCCTAAAGAGTGAGATTCTGTGTGTTTGTGTTTAGTGGTACATATGAATGTGTGTATATTCAGATAAATGATACTGTATATCTGCACATGAATGCTTCTCTTCAGATCTCCAGTGTTCGATCGCTCCAGTGACACTTTAAGGTTCCACATTCCTCCCAGTGGAACTAAAGGAACAGTGAAAGTGTGTGTTGTTACTCCTGACGACCGTTGTCATGGTAACAGCATCATCACTTACAGTTCTCAGCCCAGCTGCACTGGAATACAGCCCACAGTCAGCTGGTGGAGGTCAGACAACTGTCTAATCAGCATTTGTTTTTCTATCATATCAGTTTTTCATTTAAATACACTGTAAAAGAAATTCCGTAAAATTTACGGTAAAAAACCGGCAGCTGTGGTTGCCGGAATTTTACCGTAAAAAATACGGTAGCAACGTTTTAGGTTTTACGGTTTTAACTTAAATTTACAGTTAAATACAGTAATTTCATTAACTTATAATGTTAATATACCAACCTTATTGAAGTACTGAAATCTGTTTTGTAACTTTGTAATACACTGATAACCACCAAATGCAGGTGCTGATGAGAAAGTCACATGATGAACCAAAGCCCATCACAAGCAGCTTTTAAATATTAACATATATAGAAGGTGCACAGCGTCATTCACACAAACACTAAACACCACCATGGTAACACACATGAAACTGAAATAATGCAATAAACATTCATTTAACAACATTAGGTCTAACACACAACCCTAATATACAAAACTGATAAGAAAAAACTAAGAAGAAACATAGTTATTTCAACAAAAAAACATCAAATTTGAAATGTAACACAGGGAATTCTGGGAATGTCAATTTACGGTTATTCACTGTAAATTATACGGTATTTTTCAATTCCAAAAACGGTATACTACCATCAAATTTATGTCCAATACATGTAATGTCCAATACAGTTTTTCAGCGTATATAGTAGGGGAATTTACCGTTAACCATTTAACAGGTTTGTACTGTAGCATTTTTACAGTCTTTTACCGTTAAATTCACAGTCATTTTTTACAGTGTACTATATAATATTTAATATATTATTTATTGTATATTAATTTATTTTTATTTATAATAATAAGGACTACTATTTTATTACTTTTTTATACCATATATTACACTCTTTAAAATAAAGGTGCTTTAAAAGGTTCTTCACAGTGATGCTATAGAAGAACCATTTTTGGTTCCACAAAGAACCATTCAGTCAAAGGTTCTTTAAAGAACCATCTCTTTCTTACCTTTTTATGATCTGAAGAACCTTCTTTCACCACAAAGAACATTTGGTGAAACAGAAAGGTTCTTCAGATGTTAAAGGATCTTTATGGAACCTTTTAGACAAAAAGGTTCTTCTATGGCATCGTGAAGCACCTTTATTTTTAAGAGTGTACTGAGTTGCCTCTTCCCTGATTCTGGAGTCTGCTTTCTTGACTAAATTGTTTTAAATATTTCTTCAGTGGTGGAAGGAAGATTCGTGTTCAGGGGAGCAATCTGGAATTTGTTGAGTCAATTAATGTCAGCAAGCAGTCATATTCTCAACATGTTCTGAAAACACAATACAACACAAGCTCAGGGGTAAGACGTGTGCGTATTACTCCTGCATTAGGCTAAAAATGAGCTTTACCCTAAAGAAGATCCAGTCTAGCAGCTTACAGCACTGTCATATGGAGATCAACAGTCAAACACGAGTTGTAGTTTATCAGATTGTTTAATTACTTTGCTAATATAATTGTCAAATGTAATTCACTGACTGATATTTATTCATTCAAACAAAACATTATTTACTCTATTCGCAGCTTACATGTAGCTTCTCTCTTTCTCAGGACGTGTGGTTTCACTCCCACCATTGTTCTTATTCTGAATGTGGTTTATTCAGCTTGAATGTTGGGAACTCCAGTGTGGACTGTAAGTATTTGTCCTTCGAGTATAATCCGAGATTCACTGGATTCACCACCTTACAGGTGGCCAATGATCTACAGGTGAATATTAAGGTGAGTTTAACATCAGTGTACAGTCCGCATGTTGTGGCATGCGTAGGTATTAAAAAACTTCCAGTAAATATTATTATTGTGAGCAGTCAGGGTTTCTGCACATCAGAATGTGAAACTCACCACCTCCAAACCATGCCACACTCTCTGTTTCTCAGAAAAGGGCAGATATGCTGAATTTGAGTATGAATGAGGTGACTGTGACGGGTCTACATGGAGATCAGAAGTATCAGTGTGTTCTGGAGATTATTGAGTCCTATTCTGTTATCTGTAAGATTAAAGGAGAATTTGGAGCCATCTCAACAGTGGACAACCTCAGTGTAAGTGTGTTTTGATATGTTCTTGCAAATGGTAAATGTAATGCTGTCTCTCAATAGATTATGGGAGGGAGAATCTCTACACTGTTAAGTTTATTATAAATCTTTGTCTACTTTATGAGATATTTTATGAGTAGGAGATTTCTTTCATTGTCATTTCAGATCAGCGTTGGGGAATTTTATATCATCCTACGAGAAGAAAGACCAGAGTATTTGCATTTTTTTTCTATAGTATTTTCTTTAATATTCTTATTCTTTTTTCTTATCTTTTGCATATTATTATTTATTTTTCGGGTTTAATATAATAGCTAGTCTGTTCTCCAGACAGCAGGTGGCGCTTTATACTTACATATTATGATATGATGCAAAAACATGGACTGGTCTGTTATTTATCACTGTAGTACAATTATTTTGCATTAGAATGCTTTGATTGTATATCTTTCATTGTTCTCTTATTCACCTAATATGTAATAATATGTAATCAGTATAGTGTAAAACAAAGTATAATTAAATAAAACAAAATTCCATGATCATTTCAAAGGCCTATTCAGATTATTACTATAGTTGCATGATTTAAATCAGCTATTAATCCTTTCAGGCATATCATTTTATTTAAACATTACTGGCATGAATTGGTAATACATTTTATTATCAAAATAACTCCCAAATGCAATATAAATATACTTAATATCTGAATATAATACAGAAAACTTACCATAAAATGTTAAGATTTTATTGCATAATTATTGTGGTACATTTTAATTCTGTAACATGTAAGGCTGTGTGCAAAAATAGACCTAGTTCAGCAGAAAAACTACATCTACACCAAAGGCTTGTATGTGCTACTTTACCAGTGCCTACACAACAATCAGAATTTCACTAAATGGAAATATTCCTTCTGAAAGGGTGATAAAAGAAAACAAAATGAGAGGCAGAACAAATAAAAACACCAAAACCCAATGCCTGCTTTGAATGTTACTATGGCACATGATTTATTTGATGTTAGACATAATTTCTCTATTATTCTGCTAATAGAGTCACTGCAAATTACATTTGAAAAGAAGAACTGCTTCAAAGAACTCAATTTACCATAATTATTCTAGCAGAAAAGCATCATTAGTGCACTGATGATAGAGCCCACAAATACACAAAGATACACACTCATGCAATTACAGCTCATGCTTTGAGACACAATCCTTGAGACAGTGATAAAAATAAAGGTATGGAGAGACTGTTATCACTATAGCAACAAGACGAGCCGCATTCCTGAGTTCTTCGCTTGGAAGGATCAATAGCACATTATTCACTCCTTCTAATGTTCCAGGAAACCTGAAGCGTTTTCCAATAGGCAGAACCACTTCTTCTTAATTATGTATTTTTACACAGATCATTAGTCTGAGGGGGTACATTTTTATTTCACCCTTAGTTTATATTAAGATTCTTATTTTTAAAAGAAATCTCTTATGCTCACAAAGGCTGCATTTATTTGATTAAAAACAGTAGAGTTTTAAAATATCATTTATTCCTGTGATGGCATTTTCAGCATCATTACTCCAGTCTTCAGTGTCACATGATCCTTCAGAAATCATTCTAATATGCTGATTTGGTGCACAATTATTATCAATTATTATTGGTGCTCAATTATGAATAATGGTTCTTATTATTATCAATGTTGAAAACAGTTTTTGCTCTTTAATATTATTGTGGAATTTTCTTTCAGAAATCTTTGAAGAATTGAAGGTTCAATAAACAGCATTTATTTGAAATTGAAATCTTCTGTAACATTATAAATGTTTTTACTGTCATATTTGATCTTGCGCAATAGAAGCATTAATTTCTTTCTTTCTTTCTTTCAAATCTTACCCCAAATATATATATATATATGAATTTACTGATTCAGCTTTCACATCAGCAAAAGAAACGCATCAGTTGGCAAGCCCTTCAAGGAATTCGAGCATCAACAGAAAAATCACTGTGCTCACACACACATAAACACTCCCCTCGATCACAGCGGAGAAAGAAGCAGGCCTGAACTCTCAGAAATTAACCCTGCTGAGGATTTTGGGAAAAGGGCATCTGCTTCCAATAAGCCCTGGTTAATACTTGTTATCTGCACATTCAGGGGTATGGAGATTTCTCAGAATCCTCGTCCTGAACCTCGCCTCAAAGACACAGCATCACAGGCTGTCACCACGTCCCTGAGGAGACCCCAAGAGATTTATTTGCAGGAATAAATAGAAATATGGAAATATTTATGAAACTGAAAATATGAAAAACTATAAATATGTTTTATAAGCCTAACTAAATAGTGCTTATGAGAGCAGAGGACAAGGTGTTCTGTTTTTGTTTGGAAGGACTGTGCATGTTTTAATGAGCTTGTTTACCAAGAAAGAGATTTTATTCAAATTAATAATACTATTTTTAATACTAATTCTACCATCAAGACTTTCCGTTTCACTTCTAGTGTTTAATACTGAGCAAATAATATTTTTTTATCTCCTATTCTTAAAGCTAACTGTCATATTGTCACCATTTTGCATTTTTATTTATTTATTATTTTGCAAATGCATTAGGCTGTTTTCCACATGTGGAACTCCACACAATGTAGGCGATTTTTGCAGGGACATTTGTTCCCCATTATAAGCAAAACCTGACACACAAACACACATCTCACTTGTCAATTCACGTCTCTTTGTGTGTGTGTGTGTGTGTGTGTGTGAGAGAGAGGGTGTGTGTGAGTTATAGAGAGAGAGAGAGAGAAAGAAGGGTCATAAAATCTAACAACCTACACAGTTCACACAGGTGGCCTATTCACCCTCTGGCTAACATGACAGGTGACAGCTCTGTGCAAAGGTATTCTGTTCAACTCTTTATAACACCCTTAAACAATCTGTGAGCAAACATTCTTGGAATTAAATGGCTCATTAGATATATAAAAACTTCTTGTCAAGTAATTTCCACAAATTTCGACTGAACGATACTGCAGTGCTTCTGTTAGGCTCAGTTCAAATGTTTAGAGTCAATTCCGTCTGCCTGACTAAATACAAGTGCCAAAAGCATGTAAAGACAGTAATCAGAGAGAGGCTAAACTGCAAGGCAAACAAACCGGCTTCCCCAACACTAATTTAGACTCAATAAATCTCATGTGACGAGGGTGAGCTGAAGCGAAAGACTGAAAGAGAGTGAGAAAAACAGACAGAAAGAGGCAGTGGATCAGTTTTTAGAAAAAAATGTGACATAACAACGGAATTGTATAAAATGTTATGAATGAGGAAAAAAAATAATGAGCCATAAATTAGAAAAAAGATACTTCACAGTAATTAGCAATTTGATCATTATTACAATCTCTTTCCATAAATATATACATAAATAATACATGTAATATGTTTCAGCCATTAATGAGAAAAAACATTTCACATTCTTAGTTGAAATATATACAGTGCTGTGAAAAAGTGTTTGCCCCTTCGTGTTTTTTTTTATTTTTTGCATATTTGTCACTTGAATGATTCAGATGATAAAACAAATTTTAATATTACACAAAGATAACCCAAGTAAATACAAAATGCAGTTTTAAAATAATGATTTCATTTATTAAGGGAAAAAAGCTGTCCAAACCTGCCTGGCACTACGTGAAAAAGTAATTGCCCCCTAAATCTAATAACTGGTTGTGCCACCCTTTGCAGCAACAAGTCTATTCACCTTTATTTATATAGCGCTTTTAACAATACAGATTGTGTCAAAGCAACTGTACAGCATTAATTAGGAAAAAAGTGTGTCAATAATGCAAAAAAACAACTGCAATCAAGCATTTGCGATAACTGGCATTGGGTTTTTCACATCGCTGTGGAGGAATTTTGGCCCACTCTTCTTTGCAGAATTGTTTTAATTCAGCCACATTGGAGGGTTTTCGAGCATGAATGGACTGTTTAAGGTCATGCCACAGCATCTCAATCAGATTTAAGTCTGGACTTTGACTTGGCCACTCCAAAACCTTAATTTAGTTTTTCTTGAGCCATTCAGAGGTGGACTTGCTGGTGTGTTTGGGATCATTGTCCTGCTACATAACCCAAGTGCGCTTGAGCTTGAGGTCACAAACTGACGGCCGGACATTCTCCTTCAGGATTTTCTGATAGAGTGCAGAATTCATGGTTCCATCAATTATGGCAAGTCGTCCAGGTCCTGAAGCTGCAAAGCAGCCTCAGACCATCACACTACCACCACCATGTTTGACTGTTGGTATGATGTTCTTTTTATGAAATGCTGTGTTGGTTTTACACCAGATGTAACAGGACACACACCTTCCAAAAAGTTCAACTTTTGTCTCATCAGTCCACAGAATATTTGCCCAAAAGTCTTGGGGACAATCAAAATATTTTTTGGCAAATGTGAGACGAGCCTTTGTGTTCTTTTTGGTCAGTGGCTTGGAACTCTCTCATGGATGCCGTTTTTGCCCAGTCTCTTTCTTATTGTTGAATCATGAACACTGACCTTAATTGAGGCAAGTGAGGCCTGCAGTTCTTTAGATGTTGTTGTGGGTTCTTTTATGACCTCCTGGATGAGTCATCATTGCGGTCATGGAGTAATTTTGGTTGGCCGGCCACTCCTGGGAAGGTTCACCACAGTTCCAAATTTTCTCCATTTGTGGATAATGGCTCTGACTGTGGTTCGCTGGAGTCCCAAAGCCCAAGAAATGGCTTTATAACCCTTTCCAGACTGATACATGTCAACTATTTTGTTTCTCATCTCATCTGTTCTTGAATTTCTTTAGATCGCGGGGTGATGTGTTGGTGTTTCAGCACGCTTCACTTTGTCAGACAGGTTCTATTTAAGTGATTTCTTGATTCAACAGGTCTGGCAGTAATCAGGCCTGGGTGTGGCTAGTGAAATTTAACTCAGCTTTCTAAAATAATGTGGTCAATCACAGTTCTTTCATGATTTAACAGGAGGGGGCAATTAATTTTTCATGGAGCGCCAGGGAGGTTTGGACAGCTTTTTCCCTTAATAAATGAAATCATCATTTAAAAACTGCATTTTGTTTTTACATGCATTATCTTTGTGTAATATTCAAATTTGTTTTATCATCTTAATCATTCAAGTGTGACAAATATGCAAAAAAACAAAAACAAAAACTAAAAAACAGGAAGGGGGCAAAAACCTTTTCACGGCACTGTACATATAATAAAATAAAATAAATAATTCATGCTCTAGCCATGAAAAAATGCATGTTGGAAGTCTTAGGACAATGTCATCAAGATGATATTGATAATAATACAATGATACCATGATAGGTGCATTAGTAC